GACCAGTATACACCTTCCGTGTACTGATTTGTGACCTTATGAATAATTTCTGTCTCCCTAAAATGCGTCAAGCCAAACTGTAACCCAACCACGACGGGAGCACTTGTTCAAGGCTTCTTGGGTGCGACTCTCTGGGCCATGGTCGCACATATTCAGCTCTTTAAATTTAAATAAACCTCTTTAAAGTATTTTACAGATTTTGGGTTCTTTTTCATTGATAGGAATCAGGGACGACTCTAAGATTTCGGGCCTGGCGACTTCAAGCTGCGAGGAAAGGCACGGCACGGCCCCGCCCCGTACCTGCCACACTGAGCTCAGCCTCACACTGGCCACCGTTGGTCATGACCTGATAGTGTCCCCCGTCCTCCAGGGTCACATCCGAATAGATGAGAATGTGGCGCTTCCCGTCCTTCTTGAAGCGGTACCGGGCCTTGTGGGACTCCTCCCGAGTCAACTCCACGCCGTCTTTTATCCTGGGCGGAGGGGACAGGGCCATGAGAGCGGTCAGCGTGGCTCTGGGTCTGGGTCTCAGAGGGCCATCAGCGGCCCAGGCAGAGGGGTCAGAGGAGGTCACAGGAGAAAGGAGAGAGAAGGGTGGCAGAGGCGTCTTGAGTGGTGGGTGGGTCACAGGTGGGGTCGGGGGAGAGAAGGGGGAGGAGAAAGTCACAGGCCACATGAAGATGCCTCAAGGTACTGGCTGGACGTCAGGGACACAATGAGAGGTCACAGGGAGAGGCCAGAGCACAGAGGAAGCCATAGAGTCTCAGAGAAATGTCTGTAAATGATATGCCCCCCGCCCCGCACTCTCCCCGCTCCCTTCACTTAGTCGTCCTCAGCATTCAGATCGCAGAGCATTCAGACCATTCAGATTGTCACGTCCTCCAGGGAGCCTTCCCTGACCTCCTGAATCCCTTTCTCCAAATGAAAAGCTGCTTCAGCATCTGCTGCTGCTGCTTTGAAACACTTTTCAAAATACAACTTCTCTATGTGTTTGTGCGAAGACTTGACTAATGCCTGTCTGTCTCCTACACACACTACCAAATTTCCAGATTATAAATGCCATGAAGGCAGGTACCATGTTGATATTTTTTCCTCCCCGTTATATTTCTGATACGCAGGAGAGCGCCACCACGCGACAGGTAAGTATTCGCTGGCGGGGTGGATGGGTGTATGGCTGGACGAACGGATGGGGGATGGGTGGGTGGATGGATCAAAGGGTGGATGACTGCTTGGATGGATGAATAAATATTTAATGAATCATCGGGGGTCAGGAAAAAGACCCTGCAGAGGACGGGATGGGTAGAAGTTCTAGAAAGAAGTCACGGTGAAGGTGGGGGTCTACAGAGAAAGGCTGAGGTCTCCTGGTGACAGCCGAGTAGAGATCAAGGGTCCCATAAGCATCAGGGCTGAGGCAACGAAGCGGCGGGCACGGGGAGGTCGGGGATCGGGGGTCACTCACCACATGACCTGGGCACCTTCTTCCGACACCTCGACCATCATTTCCACCCGGTCGCCCACAAACACCTGCTGGTCCTCGAGAGGCGTGACGATCAGGACTGCGGGTTCTGGGGGGCAGGGGCACAGGGGGTCAGCAGTCTCAGGACCCCCTCCAGAGCTCCGTTCCCCCCCACACTCAGGCCCGAGTCCCAGCCTCGCCTCTGACGAAGAGCTCGGTGAAACACTTCTCGTCCTTGACGGCCGCTTCGTAGGCGGAGTCGTCCGCCAGCGTGCACTTGTTGATGGTGAGAATCCGCTTCTTGCCAACGTTCTCAAACACGTACCTGGAGCGAAAGTCCCCGCTCAGCCAGGGTGCGGAGCATTCGCCCAGCCCCGGGGGAGATCTGCTCACCCGTTCTCAGGGCAAGTCTCTCCCCCTCGGAGCCAAATGCGTGGGAGGGGGCTGAGGGTCCAGTTGCTATTATTTAAATAGCCACGGCGGAAATGCCAACTGTCCACCCACTTGCATCCTCTCCTCCTTTCAGCAGCAGCGCACGGCCCCCACCTGGAGAACTACATTTCCCAGCCTCCCTTGCAGCTAGGCCTGCGCGCGGCCCGGTGGAAAGTGGGTGGAGGTGATGCATGTAGCTTCTAGGTCATCTGCGACTCTGAGATGAGTGGCTTGCTCTGCACTTCTGCCCTTCCCCTCTCCTCCTGGCTGGAACACAGAGGTGCCCATCCGTAATATAGACGGGGACACCACCGCAGGAGACGATATAGCTAACAATGTGGACAGAAGCTGGGTCCCCAAATAATCTCTTAGAGGAGAGCTGGCCCACCAGCCTCAAGCCGCTGGAAATACATGGCTGTCTACCTTACATGTATTATGGGGACTCTTTGTTATAGAGAATTAGCCTGTACCTTCACTGACATAGCATTTTATCTTTTTTTTTTTTTTTCTTTTGAGACAGAGTCTCGCTCCGTGGCCCGGGCTAGAGGGCTATGGCGTCGGCCTAGCTCACAGCAACCTCAAACTCCTGGGCTCAAACGATCCTCCTGCCTCAGTCTCCCGAGTAGCTGGGACTACAGGTGTGCACCACCACGACCAGCTAATTTTTTATTTCTATTTTTAGTCGCCTGGCTAAGTTTTTCTATTTTTAACAGAGACAGGGGTCTCACTTTTGCTCAGGCTGGTCTCGAACTCCTGACTTCAAGCGATCCTCCTGCCCCAGCCTCCCAGAGTGCTAGGATTACAGATGTGAGCCACCGCGCCCAGCCGACATAGCATTTTATCTTGTCAAAAATGCTCATTATGGGGAATTTAGAAAACACAACCAAGGAAAAAAAATTTTCTTTTGAAACCCATCCATAACTGTCCCAGCAAAAGATAAATGCTGCAAATATTTTGGCTCCTGTCTTTCCAATCTTTTTATTATATATACATAAAATGTAGATTAACACTCTACATGAGACAGAAGTGGGTAATACACTTCTGCACGCAATAATCTTGAACAGCTCCCATGTTAGCGTATGTTCTAGAATCTCTGTTTTAGTGATTGCAGATCCCCTTAGTGTGGAACTGTACATTTTGGTGGTTTTCTATTTTTTGCAACAATAGCAAATGCTTCAGTGAACATCCTCGTAGCTAAATATGCACAGCCGTGATAATGCCTTCACAGCAAATACCCACAGTTGCGCAACCTGAAGGCTTTTTAATATGTCGTCCTTGGAGACTTACCAGTTTACATTCCCACCTGCAGCATCTGTGTACCATTTCCCTATGTCTTCGCTGGCACTGGGCTTTCTGGTTTTGTAAAGCCTTTGCCCGTTTGAAGAGCAGAAACACTGTTGTTTTCATTTGCATTTTTATTATCATTATTTGCAAGGTCAAAGGTGTACTGCATGGCTTATTGGCCATTTGGGTTTCTTCCCAGCTGATTCCCTGCCCTTTCTTGCCCTTGTCTTTTTTTCTAGTGAAGTATTTGTGGTTTGTTTTTTTTTTTTCTTTAAAGACAAGGTCTTGCTCTGTCACCCAGGCTGGAATGCCGTGGTGCAATCTTAGCTCCAACTCCTGGGCTCAAGCGACACTCCCACCTCCGCCTCCTGAGTCGCTGGGGCTGCAGGCACGCAACACCATGCCTGGCTAATTTTTTTCATTTTTTTTTTTAGAGATAGGGTCTTGCTATGTTGCCCAGGCTGGTCTCCTGGCCTCAAGCGATCCTCCCACCTCCGCCTCCCGAGTCACTGGGATTCCAGGAGTGCGGCACCGCACCTGGCAGTGTCTAAGTTTGACATAGATGTGGAAGTGCCCTTTCCGGGTTAAGTTACCAGCTTTGTTCCTGGGTGTTCTCTCTGGACTAGGACCCCCCA